GAGGAGGTGACCCTCCTGGCCTCCCTTCTCATGTTTCAGAGTTAATGAAACCATTTAGACATTAAGTGAAAATTCTTCACTGTGAAGGTGGTGAGACCCTGGCCCTGGTTGCCCAGGGAAGCTGTGGCTGCCCCATCCCTGGCAGTGTTGAAGGGCAGGTTGGATGGGGCTTGGAGCAACCTGGGCTGGTGGGAGGTGTCCCTGCCCATGCAGGGGGTTGGATCTAGATGATCTTGAAGGTCCCTTCCAACCCAAACCATTCCATTATTCTATGATTTAGGATAGCTGAGACCAGGAGAAACTCCTCAGGGAATCTCTTTATGTTAAGGGGGCAGACTTGCTGGAAAATAAGTGATATTGAGGAGTAGAACCTCACATCTGCACCAGGGATGTGGGTATGGAGGTGGCAGAGGTTAGCTGGTCCTTTGCTCTCTGCTGGGAATTTCACTTTTCTGTCTGCTGCCAGAAAATAAAACTGTGTAAATCTCAGAAAGTGGAATGAGAAGGTGAATGATAGAAATGTGACCTGGATCCATCCTTGCTGTGCAGGCAGTATTCACGTTTTTCCACAGATGTTCTGTGTGTAATGGGAGACCAAAGAGACCAGTTTTCACCCCTTGGCACCACTTACATTTTTTTACTCTAAATCTTTCATTTCTATCAGATAACTTGTTTGCCCTTCCATTGGCTGTAGAGACAAAGAGATTGATTCCAAACTTCCCAGCCATGGGAACGTACCCTCACATGGTAGCTGTAAAATGCTTTAAACATTCATCCCAGTCTGATGGAGTGAACCTGATCTGGCAGATGGAGGTGGTCACTTCCGGCAGCAGTGAGGAAACTGTTACACTCTAAAAAATTACCCAGCTCCCTGAAATCCCAAGTCTGCTAGTTCCTCTTCATTCTACTAACTGTCTGTCATGGTTCTGTGTCTCTAGACCATCTATCGGCGATTGAGGTGCCCAGCGCAGCCAGACAAACCCACAACACCTGTATCTCCTTCCACGTCAGCACCTCTCCTCTATACCAGTTCATACCTGACTCGAACAAATAAGTATCTTGGTCTTGACTCTGTGAATCCAGCAGACTTCAGAGGTGCAGCCACAGAGATGGAGAAGAATGGTGTGTACCCAGGAGAAGGGAGAACAGCCAAAGCTCAGGGGCTTTCATGGGTTTTAGAACTTTCAGTGTGTACAGACAGAGATAAAAAGTTCACTTGTTATCTGAAGGGAGTGGATTGTGCAGCTGCCATCTCACCTAACAAGTGTTATTTGTTTAAATGGAAAACCTAATGTAGGATACAGCCTATTGCTTGTTCCAGAGAGGGAAAAAAGGGTATTCTCCATTTTGGATAAGTAATTGAGGTGATCCATGGACTCTTTAGATCTCAGAGCTGGAGGTGGGGGGCAATTGAAGTAGTACTATTTGCCCTCAGAACAGGAGTAAGTTGGGATGATGAGGGGGGAGCTGACAGGTAGGATAACCCCTCTGGGCTCTGATAAAGGAAGGAGTAACCAGATGCAGCACTGAGCTTGCATTTCATTTGCTTTAATAACTCCTTTGTAATATGACACAAGCCAAGATGACCTTGATCAGCTCAAAAAGAACACCAGTACCTTAGCAAAAGCATGGGTGTAAATCACTGATACCAAAGCAGCCTTTCTTTGCTTGGGCAGAGTGTGAAGATCAGGACTTAGATGACAGATCTCTGAACAAACAGTCCATCCGGGAGAGGCGGCGGCCGAAGGAGAGGAGAAGAGGCACTGGCATCATTTTCTCAACAAAAGAGGTAAGTTTGAGTTCCTCAAAGAAGAGGAACTCTCTCTGTTGTATTCAGGATTAATTTCCTTCCAATTCCAAGCTTCAGCTTTTTTTTCCAAGTCAGTTTCATTTCCCATCAGTCCTTCCCCTGCTCAACTTGATTTCAGACTGGCGCTTCCAAAGGAATCTCGCCCCTGTCTGGCCCGTGTGAAGCCCAAGCAGCAGTCTCTGGGAAGCTGGCTCTGGAGCCATAAATCAGTGGCATCCCGTGGAAGAGCCCACATGAGAGAAGAGAGATTAGAAGTCTGGTTTCTTTGGAAGAAGGAGGTCACAAGCCACTGGAAGTATTTTCATATTGCTGTGAGCCCAAATTTGGCTGCTCTTTAGGCCCCCTAAAAGGAAGACAATGAGGAATAAAACCTGTGTCTGGACCCCCTGCCCAGCACCAGGGAGCACACAGCATAAATGCACAAGAGCTGCCTGTGTTGTGGTCATTCCTCTTAGTCCTGGTTTCAAAAGGATTTCTTCAGACTGAGGAAAGAAATCCAACTCTCCAAATCTTGGTCAGAGACTAGGAAAATAGATCACCTTTTTCAGGAGAGAGTGAGTGTTACGAAATCATGGTCAAGAGATCTGCAACAGCTGAAGTCCAGCTGTGGCCATAGAGCCTTTCTCATTCCCCTCAGGGACAGAGGTTTTCTGCACAGCACAGTGAAAAAAAACTCCAATGCTCTTCTTCCTTGTGGCACCAGCAGATAAGGTGAATGTTGGCAGTTACAGACCAGCTGAATGATCCTGCTGGAAACCTCAGAAATTCTTTTGAAAGTCTTGCTGCAAAGACCCTCTTTTTATGATGTTCAAACAATTTTTACATTTTTCTCTTGCATGCAGAATGGGATTTTTTTATTACTGTTATTTTTTAGTCAAATGCTTTCCAGCTTACCCAGTTGTCTACTGGATCATTGTAGCAGCATCAGTAGCTTCAGAGCAGAAACCAAATGGCTTCATAGAATCATAGAATGGCAGGTTGGAAGGGACCTCAAGGATCCTCTGGTCCAACCTGCCAATAGTATAGTTTAAGTGAGGTGGCCCAGCAGCCTGTCAAGCTTAGTCTTAAAACAGTTCAACGTAGGGGAATCCATCACTTCCCTTGGAAGATTATTCCAACCTGAATTTATACCCATTACCCCTTGTCTTCTCCAGGAGAATGCCTGGAAAAAGGGAGTCTCCATCTTCTTGGTAGCCACCCTTTATGAACTGGCTCATGGCCGAGCCTTCTCTTCTTTTCCCTATTGCCTCTATGCAAAACTGCAGCTACAGCTTCTGAACCCCTTGGGTTCCATATGGAGCCAGGTGGTACTTCACCACTGCTCCATGAAATCCTGGAGCTGTTGCAAAGAGGCAGTGGCTTGCACAGAGGCTGTGTTGAGTGCAGACTATCTGGGATGACTTGTATTTCCTCTTGGGAAAGTCTAGCTGAAGTGGAGGATACGCTTTGGAAGTCAGTGTTATGTCAACATTCCAGACATGAAGTCTTCCCAAGTGTCACTTTTGTCCCTTGAGTATATTGAGGAGTGTGACTCCTCCTGCCTCCTCAGGAGCATTCAAATTGCAGCAGCCATCTCAAGAGACTAATTCTGTCCCCAGTACCAAGATCTAAATGGCCATTAGGTTGCCAGACCTCACCTGATAATCAGCCCAAGCGTCCAGACAGGCATTTCTTTTGAAAACCATGGTCTGAGCTTCAGCATCCAATCATAAGCAACACATCATCTTCCTGCAATCAAATTTGTTATCTCCAAGGCTGCCTAATTACATTGTTTGCTTTCATCCTAGGATGATGATGAAGTTGATGGAAATGAGGAGTTGAAGGAAACTCGGGTAAGTGAAAACTTGTTTAAATAGTTGGTGTTTCAGTCTTCAGCATTGGTGGCAAGAAGTCTTTTATGACTTTACTTTTGTTTATACGAGATATTCTGGCTGTGTTCAGGAGCTGAGGATGAACTGGGAGGGGGTTCTGAGTAGCACATGTCCTGCTGGTTTCTCATCTGAAAGGTAGAGAACATCTAGACTGGCCTAAGCTCAAAAGTTGGCTTTTTGAGAGCTGCACAGGCAGTTCTCAAACCTGGAGGGCCTGGAGCACTTTCCTGGTAGCACCATCAGGAGCGTGGTGACTGGGACCATGACTGTCAGGTGTCACCACAAGGTGCCTGACCTCATAGCTCAGAATCCTCTGATGGAGATATTTTGGAACATATTTTGGACAATATGTTTTGTATTCCTAAAATCTGCACTTTTGTCTTCTCATTGAGGTGTTTTCTTGTGGGAAATGGTTTTGGCAAGCAGCTCATGAGGGATTATTCATTGTTCCCCTGTTCTTGCAATAGTCTCATTGTCCTTTGTGGCCCTTTCTTGTCTTTTAGAATAATTATTGAGCCCTTCCAAATTGCTTTGGTTTCTTTTGGTTTTCTCGGTCTTTGTCTAAAACACATTTGAAAACAAATTGCTGCCTGACAACATGACTTACTCTGACAATGCTGAAGCTAAATACATTTCCAGACTATTAAAGCATGATGTGCAAGACCTGGGAACAACAGCAAATATCAGGTTGTGGAGGGGTCGGCCCAGTTGTGCTTGATTTTTGCCAGCAATGTTGACCTTAGGGTGGGCTTTCCACATGTTTGCAGTTCAGCAAAGTGATTGAAGCATCATTCTGTTGAAAAGTTAACTGTGGTTTTTTTCTGAAAATTTCCAGTAACATCTTCAGAGTGTGTTTTTTGTGTTCTTTTTACGATGCTCAGCCAGGATGGGGCAAAGTCCTGAGGAGGGGGGACAGAGACTCACGTGGTGCTGGGAGGGCTCTTAGCACGTGCTTATCTTTCAGTGCCAGGCTTTGCTTTCCCAACACTTCCTTTGGACCATGAAAAGCAGGATATTCCTTCCTCCAGAAGCACCACCTGCTTCTAGTAGCCCAACTCTTCCACAGCAGTTTGTCTCCAGCTTCATTAAACCTCCCACTTAACCCTGCCTGGGAGATCCAGCCATTTATCATCCTTAAAATTGTTTTGCCATTTCTGCTGTCTCACAGCAAGACTGAAGGAGGGGTATTTTGTAATGTGTAAAAAGTAATAATAATAATAGGGACACCTTGTTTCCAGCAGTCGTGTTTTAGGCTTGCTGGGAATGTCTTGTTCTTCTGGGAAGTTGTCCCACATTAGCTAAATTAAGACAAAAGAGGCTGCAGTTTTGAAGGCTTCCAGGAGTCTACTCCTAAAATTGCTGAACTCTCTGTCAAGCACAGTCCTCACTGCTCTTCTAAATGGGTAAAACTGCACTTCCTAAGAACCCACCATATGTTCCTGCCCAAAACTTAAGGGTCACCCAGTTTCTTACAATTGATGATGCTGGTTAACAGCAAGGAACCCTTTTGTCTTCCCATGATTTTGGGGCTTACAGGAAAGCTGGGACTTTTTACAAGGGCTTGTAGGAAGAGGACAAGGGGGAATGAATTAAAACTGGGAGAGGGGAGATTTACATTAGACATGAGGAAGAAATTCTTCACTGTGAGGTGGTGAGACCCTGGCCCAGGTTGCCCAGGGAAGCTGTGGCTGCCCCATCCCTGGCAGGGTTGAAGGGCAGGTTGGATGGGGCTTGGAGCAACCTGGGCTGGTGGGAGGTGTCCCTGCCCATGCAGGGGGTTTGGAACTGCATGACCTTTAAGGTCCCTCCCAAACCATTCCATGGCTCTATGATTTTCTTGTGGGTTCCCATCTAACAGCAGAGCAACTTCCATTCCCTTGGCCCCTCTGCTTAGGTGCTTTGTGGCAACAGTCTCTGTTTCCTTACACACTTCACGTGCCTGAGACCCTGGTTGGGACCCTCCTCCCTCTCTGCTGGTGCTGTTTTTCCCATTCTCCCATTCTCTTGGTTTTATCCAGTTTCCAGCTCACTTTCTTTACTGCATGCCTTCAGCATCATGTCACTTGCTCAGTCTTCCCTGGCTTATTTTACATCCAAATCAGAGAGTTTTCTGTCCTGCTAACAGAGCATCAGTTTGGCAAGAGTCAGGGAGGCTCCTCGCTTTCAGTTGTAGAACCAAGTGGGAAGTACAATTAAAAATCATCAATAATCATCAATAATCATTGGCATCTTCTTCTCTGGAGACTTTCAAGACCCATCTGGATGCATTTCTGAGTGACCTGCCCTAGATTTGATCCTGCTCTGGTAGGGGGGTTGGACTTGACGATCTCCAGAGGTCCCTTCTAATCCCCAACATTCTGTGATTCTGTGAATTCATTAGTATTATTACTACTATTATTATTAACAATAATGTAATCATATATAATAATATAATTATATATATGATATATATATTATTATATATAATAAATGCTACTACTACAACTAATAATAATAATAAAGTAATTCTGGAATGGCAGGTGCCACCATCACACTTGTGAACCTGAGCACACTCAAGTGTCCCATTTGATTTGCAGACTCCCAAATACTCTCCTGGTTTTATATGAGCAGTTATTTTTTTTCCCTCCAGTGTTTATATCTTGGCTGATATTAGGAAGATCTTCATGGGAGCCAAAAAAGGCCCTTCTTGAATTCCTTCCTCCAAACTAAGCAGGGCTGGACTTTACCAAGGAGAGGTAAAGGCCATTTTTTAAAAGAAGGAAAACAAAAAAAGGAACAAATACATGTTGTTCTAATTCTCAGAAGTGGATGAATTATTTTGGCTGAAACTCATGAGCACCAGCGTGGGAAACCAGCCCAGACACTCTGGCTGAGTCGGAGGCAACTGCGCACGGTGCTGGGGCAGGATGTGTCAGGGAACCTTCTTGGGTGTCACTGCCCACCCTTCCTCTCCCTGTGCTGCTGGGATGCCTTGTGGAAAGTTGGAAGGGCCAACAAAGTTTTATTGTGGAATAAATATTCAAGAGCACAAGGACTTCAGCTGGAAAAAGCCTCTGGGGAAGCAGCTTTAGGAGAGGGTGGTTTGGTGTGGTTCTGCTGGGAAGGTTTTGTTCTTTCTGGGGAGTCCTGAGCTCACAGCAGAGGTGGGGAAAAGTGTTTGGCCACAGGCTGGTCTCCATTTCTCAGAAAGTAAAAATTGTGAGAGTCTGAAAGATTGTGTTAGGACCAGTTTGAGCAGGGTGGGTAGGCTGGCATTGGGAAACCTTCCCTGCTTCCTGCAAGGCAGTGACTGTGAAATGTGTGGTGCAGTCAACATGATGGGGAAGAGGGAGGTCATCCAGGGGGATCCTGACAGGCTGGAGAGGTGGGCCCCAGCCAACTTGATGAAGTTCAGCAAGGCTAAGTACAAGGTCCTGCATGTGGGCCAGGGCAACTCCAAGCACAAACACAGGCTGGATGGTCAATGGATTTAGAGCAGCCCCGAGGAGAAGGACTTGGGGATGATGGCTGATGAGAAGCTCAGCACAAGCCAGCTCCATGTGCTGGAGCCCAGAAACCAACCGTGTCCTGGGCTGTGTCACCAGCAGAGGGACCAGCAGGGCCAGGGAGGGGATTGTCCCCTCTGCTCTGGTGAGACCCCCCTGCAGGGCTGGGTCTAGTTCTGGGGTCCCCAACACAAGAAAGACATGGAGCTGTTAGAGTCCAGAGGAGGCCATAGACATGGTTGAGGGCTGGAGCATCTCTGCTCTGGAGCCAGGCTGGGAGAGTTGGGGTGTTCAGCCTGGAGAAGAGAAGGCTCCAGGGAGACCTTAGAGCAGCTTCCAGGGCCTGAAGGGGCTCCAGGAAAGCTGGGGAGGGGCTTGGGACAAGGGCTTTTAGTGAGACGACATGGGGGAATGGATTGAAACTGGAAGAGGGGAAATTTAGATCAGATATTAGGAGGGAGTTCTTTGCTGTGAGGGTGGTGAGAGCCTGGCCCAGGCTGCCCAGGGAAGCTGTGGCTGCCCCATCCCTGGCAGTGTTGAAGGGCAGGTTGGATGGGGCTTGGAGCAGCCTGGGCTGGTGGGAGGTGTCCCTGCCCATGCAGGGGGTTGGGACTGGATGATCTTTAAGGTCCCTTCCAACCCAAACCAGTCTAGGATTCTATGAAGTATCAGTGAGGATTCAGTCATGGTGGGGTCACTGAGGACGAGCACAGCACCCTCAGGGCAGATGCAGATCAGCAGCTTTGGTTTGGGATGCAGTGACTGAAGGACAGTGATGAAGACTGGAGAGAATGGCCTGATGTTACGTTTGGAGGTTTTCCTTATCCCCAGCCCTTCTGACTTAGACTTATCCCTTAATTCCACGGTTTCTGTTACAGAGCATGAGAAATTTGGAACAAATTTGGAAGAAAAGTCTATTTTAAATGACATCCCATACATAACAGAAAAAAAAAAAAATGTTTGTTACCATGACAAGACTTTTATCTCCTTGCATTTCTCTGTTGGGACATTACAAATGTGCCTCACCCCTGTGTCAGATATATTGCTCATCAAGGGAAAGCTTTAACTACAGGGGAATGCACAGAGGGACATGTTGGTAAAGTAACAATTTCTGGGCAGTAAAAGTGTCAAAGAAAACATCTGTTCTCATGAACTTCCTATAGGACAGTCTGTAAAGCACAGTGTAAAACCCAGGCACATTAATGGAGTGAGCTTCTAGGCAGGAGTAACACTGAAACAAGTGGTCATAGATTATGACCTCAGTAGGTGTATTAAACAGGTTCCATTCTTGTCTCTCTGCACTTTGATTTATAGAACATGAGTATTTTAGATTCTGCAAAACACTTTTCCTCCCACACTGCTTTGTAAATATTAGGGGTTCTGCCTAATGGTGTTATTCACATGAAATCACCAGATGCGACTGGATTTTAATAAAAACTGGGCCTCTGCCTTAGAAGGACTGAATTTCTAAGCTTGATTCTATGAATTCTAGGGGAAGACCAATGAACTGAAAAATTCCTTTTGCAAACCAAGTGTCTTATGTTATAGCTGTTTCAGAGTTATGACTTGGGAGTCCTGATTTGGGTATATTCTGTTTCTTACCTATATTTTTGCTGTTAGTGGCATTTTATCTTCTGCAAAGACTTCAGTTTAGCTCCTGTAGCTGCTGTCTGTCAAATCCAGCTTTTTAAAGGTCAACAGCGAAAAGATCAGCAACAGCTTCAGTTGGTGTTTTGTGACTTTCCTGTTGCAGCCAGACTGCCCTGGGAGTCCTGACAACTGCCCTGAGCCCACAGTTCTGGTGCCCTCTTTCCC